CAAACTCGTCTCTTGGTCAAGCTCATTTGACATTATTGAATTTTACTGAAGCCTACATCAAATCTGATCAATCTCCTGCCAAAAACCAAGAAAAAGCATATCGATGGTATCGACCACCACAAACATATGTTCAATCGTTCAAACACAGCCCAACTAATGATGCATCAGTTATTGTTGCTATTCTTTTCTGGTTATTGACTAGTAGGATTCCTCAACACAATGAAAATGTACTTCCTCATCAAGAATTTGAAGTACGCGACAAAATCATTAAAAAAATTTCTCGTGCTATGTCATCTGCAAGTACGTAGTGATAATTAGTTTTCGTTCTCTTTTTACTCTTGAAACGAATCTCGATGCATATGAATCGATTGTCTTTTCGATATTTATTTTTTATTTTGTCTTGAAAACAAAACTATTGTTTCTTTTCTATCTAGAAATCGATCGATTGAGAACATATTTGATTGATACATTTAATCGTGCTTTTGGTTTTCCTGAATATGAACCATGGACAATTGAAGATTTAGAATGTCGAATCAAATCTATTCGGGAGTTATTAACATCGGATGATTCAAAACTGAATTCAATTGAAAGTATTTTCCAGAATCTACTTCGTTTGACAGCATCGCATAAGTTTATAGAAAAAAGTACTCATCCCGCTGCTATTCAAAAAGCAGCCGATACATTTACCCAAGTTAAAAAGAAATTTTCAGATTCACATTCTGATAAATTTATGTGGTTCGATGGAAATTGTACGTGGTTAAATAGTGCACAACATCCAATGAACGAATATCGACATGATGACATTCTCACATATTTTTGGCGTGGTCAAAGTTATTCTCTTATAATTATTTGTTTTACAAATATTAATGATGAAGGTAAAATTATAACATTAGCAATCGGTAGTACTGTTCATGATAAAATGATTCAAATTCCACTTGGACAATATTCGATTGCTCAAAATTATGTAAAAGAATTAGAACAAATTTTCGATACAGAACTCAAGAATCTTCTTCTATCAATATATAATGAACAGAAAGCAGCACAGCAATAAGAACAAGATATTTATAAGCCACTTGGTTGTATTCAAGTCTCCAAAACAATAAAAAATTGATTACTTCATATTTATAATCTTTAAGAATCACAGATCTCGTATAATAATGAATTCTATTATATTTGTTGTTTATTTTATTATAATGCCGTGATTATTAGAAAATAAACCAGAGAATAATTTCTAATACTCGACAAGACTTTATGTAGTGTTCACAGATTCAATTTTCTAGCAGCACGAAAGTGTTAACCAAATATTATTATTCGAAACCAACTGATTTATCAGACGTGGGATGTGGGTATGGGTTTGAGGGTAGATGTGGCTGTGGTTGGGGATGTGTGAGTGTAGTTGGGATGACTAAATCCATACCTACGCTCACACCCACATCCACAGCAACACCCTGTATTGGATACTAAAAGCAGTTATATTTATAGAGATCGGCAAGATTTGCAATATACACTAAATAACTTTAAGATTTAGTTTGATCGAAAGCGGGAAAATGAGTCATTTAGTGCTAGAACCCAAAATCCTGTCAAATACCGGAAAAACGAGGTCCATCTCTATCAGCAGGGGTTTATCCGATGAACCCACTTCACAAATTATTGTGTATTTTCCTCTCCATCCTCATAGAAGCATGTGAAACATTAGTCTCCTATATAGAACATAAGCGAAGGAAGTTCCTTAGAGGAGATTTCATTGGTTATGTTACTATAATTAAAGTGGTGTGGGTGTGAGTGTGGTTGGCATGACTAAATCCACACCTACACTCACAGGCACAGGCACACCCCACACCCTCTTCTCAATTACTAGAGAAATAAATCAATGATGATATGATATAACAATCACTTTTCATCTTGGAAGGAATCAGTTCATCAATAGCTAAACTAAGACGTGAGTGTGGGCGTGGCTCTTATTTCTAATCACACTCACCCACACCCTCGCCCTATTCTTTAGGTAAGTTTCACGATTTAGGGCAGTTTCCTCAGGTGTCCGATAAAAGATCAATTTATTTCAAATTTTAAAAATAAATTCTCTTTTTACAAACCTGGCTTAAGCTTCTTTGAGTGATGCCAGTCGAAAAATATTTTCGTACAGTGCACAGCAAACGACAAAAATTTTGTATCTAGACAAAACCGTTCATCTCGTGTATAATTGAACGATAGAAAAAGTTGATATCTATATTGCACATAACATTCCCTGATAATTCATTGCTCATATTCAGCTTCTATGTTTTATTGTTGTTAGCCTTCCGATTCATTAAATAATTATACTCTGAAAGAGATCCAAAAACGAATGAAACAAGTGAGCATAGCAGTGTGTTAATCCTTTCGTGGTGGGCATTGCATAGATGGAATGGTGGCACGAAAAGCCTCACCATGAAAGGGTTTATATTCTTGCTCACTTGCGTGAAACAAGTTTATTGACTGAGCCTGATAGCCTATATAGGTCGCCGAATTTCTCTTATCGGAAACTAACAGTCGATACTCAACAATTCTATTTCTTAGAACTCAACTGGGACTTCCGATCACTACGTCGAGTTGTGAACAGGAGATACTTTTGCGATCATGTTGATGTTCGACCTGATTTTCTCCTTGTTGCTGAGGAAAACTGTTGGTGCTTACAATCCGTCGCACAATTATGCTCGACAAATTCCAGTCATTATCAAAAATGGGCGTGAATAACATCAAAGATCGATATACGAAATACAAATGAATATCCATCAAGAAAAAAAACGTACTTCGAACTATTGGATCTACCGACAATCAATGAAATGATCTGGCTTAATCAAAGTTCGCCTAATTTTCTTTGTTGAATGAGTAGCAGCGTCATTATTGTCCCTCAATCTATTACAATCCTAATACTTTTTTTCGGAAAAAGGTTTGTGATATCGAGAGACGAAGAGATGAGAAATGAATCGTTATCCTCCTTTTTAATCGACATATACGACGACCACAAAGAAGTTGAATTGGATCTCGTCATAGTCGCCGAAACTTCTTGCGTCGACTGAAAGAAACGAACATAATTCTCATCTCCTATCGAGATCTGAAAGGTTTATTAAGGTCAATGTCGTGTAGAAAACAAGCAAATGACTATTCAGATTTGAGTCACTCTTAAGAAGATATGAAGCATTGCGCATGACTATCAGTCCAAGAAGAGAGAGCAAACGAAATTGCGCCACCAGTTGAAAGCGTTGTGCAAGTACTAAACAGAAAGATATAAATAGGAGAAATGCGTTGAAGAGATTATTATATATTCTGAGATAATGGCTTCAAGCTTGGTCCACTGTGAAATAATAGCTTCTGAGCTGAACACTCCAACAACGATACAACTGGATGAAGAGCATCAGATTTTGTTCGCTCTTACAAACTATTTTTTGACTCGAATCGATTTGACAAAAACTAGTGACAACTCGCAAGTTGTCTGTCAACACAATCGAAAAGCACAGGGAGAAGATAATGAAAACGATGATTATTATTCCCAAGGTGAATCTGACGATGAAATGCCTCGCGTATCCGATCCATTCGAAGACAGCGAACCGTCGACGGATGATGACGAAGAAACTATTGCAGATCGACAAAATTGGCGCCGATATGCTTGGAGAACGTATAAGTTGGACAATCCATGTTCAATTTTATTCTTGCCTGAAGAAAATCGATTGGTTGTGCTCAACGAAGGTGTGATTACATTCATGACGATCGATATGGAGAATGGACGTCTATTTGCTCAAGGTCCATCCAAGAACATTTTTTGCTTCGATTACGAGGTGTTCACTCAACGTAGCATTCAACCTTGGTCGATTGCACCAACTTCAACTGTTGGACTCTTTGTATTCAGTCTACTAGATAGCGCTCAACTTTATTCACTCGATATATCAAAGGAAAGTCCAGTAATCAAACAAATGATCACGACACCTGTGACCTACTGTCCGAATCTACTCTTTCATTCACAATCGAATACACTTTTCGTCTATGATTCGACACAACTGTTTTCTGTGTCACTCGCTGATCGAACAGTTGCAATGGTCGACTTTCCAAAGCTCGACAAGGAGCACACAATCGATGCAATAACTACTGACAAAATGGGATATGTTTACATCTTGACGGCTTTGACTATCTTCAAATGCACCTGGACATCACAACTTCATCCAGTTGAACGTCTAGAGAAAATCGACGTGCCATCTACTTGTGCGCATATGGTTGTTACAGGAGCGGGTACTGATTTCTACTTATCGGATATGAATGCTGGTTCCATTTATCGCTGCAAGAAAATATCGACATGAATCGAATTGCAACAAGCTATTTTATGAGAAAAAGCTTCATCGATTACGATAAACTAATCTTTCCTATAAACAGTTATTTTTTCTACCGAGAAGACAATAAATTTGTTTTGTTGGAGTTGACGAAAACCTCAGGCTTTCGGCTCCATAATCCCATCATGTAGTACGGATTGAAAACCAGAAACGAGCATACAGCTCTAATTTCACGTTAAAGACGAAAAGTGCTTGAAAACCATATTCCTCGAGGTCTCTGGCACTATTACGATCAGAATATCGGCAATTCATAAGTTCTCTCGGCTATGGTGAAGATATTGGTTGGTTTTTAAAAATTTGTATATGAAACATAGATTGGAGAGCGTTGCTGTCAGGGTTGCTAGATTGTCTGAAAAGTCAGGACAGTGTCTGAAATTTGGACGCCTTTCTGATTTCCTTCTGACAGCCTGATTTTTTCTGATTTTAGCACTCTCGTCTGATTTTTCCTGTTTTTGATAATTTTCCCTGCTTTTCTCCTGAATTCTGAACTTTTCTAAATCATATCACAGCTTTCTTAGCGAAATTAAATCTTATCATAATTATTCGTGTGAACAATTTTATAAATATCTTTTAACTCAAACGCATTTGTTAAAGCAAACTCGAAAAAATGGAAAATATGAACAATAATATCGAATCTATGTTACATAATCATCAGTTTTTTCTTTCATAGGATCTTATAACTTATATCGTATATATGTGATTTGTTTTTGTACTTTTTTTGTGAACGAATTTTGAGTTTAATGAAAGAGTTCGGCACTACGTGTCTTCATTAGTTTTTCCTTGTTAGCTAAACAGTATATTCATTGTATTATGCTTTTTTATAGCGAAATATCTTTGAAAATAAAGTATGAATTAATGAACAGCGATTCAATAGAGTATCTTGTACCAACATGATATCATGATAACCACTAGATTTTTCAAAAACTGACTTTTCTGATTAATTTCTGATTTTGCAAAAAAAATTCTGATGGTTTTCTGATTTTGAAAAAGAAAATTCTGATTTTTGAGTTTTTGATCTGGCAACCCTGGTGTGGGTGTGGGGTGTGAGTCTAAAAGAAAAGAAGAACCGGAATCCCCCACGCCCACACCCACACCAGATCAAAAAGATCATTTGGAATTTGGCTGATATCAATGTTTGATGTAGTATCAAACTTATGTGCGTTAGCAATAACAAGACGGTATATGTGCATTTTAGTGACAAGATTATCAGAAGAACGTAATGCAATATAAGCAGGCGCTAAAAATCGATCTAGATCGGTAGTGATAATACGCTGCCTTTCATAAAACAATTTATCATTCTTTCCACAATTAAAATTAATAGCAAGTTATTCAGTAGTCTCCATAGATGGTGTGACAACTAATACACGTTGTACACCGAGTACATACGGCGCTAACGTAGCGCTTCCGCTCTTGCCACATCCAGTTGGCAAGATTACAAGTGCAATCTCTGGTTTGTCTGGATCGGCAAAATGCTTACTCAATTCAATTAGAGCATCCTGTTGATGTTGCCAAAGATTTTCTTCTTGAGCAGCGGTCGGCAATCAATCTGTTATAATCTCGTTCTGGTCAACAAAAGGGCTGTTGTGAGCAGCAGGAATTGGCATCACTGTAAAATCTTCAGAGAACAGGCAGATAAAAAAACTCAATGAAAAGCTAAATGAGTATGTCACTGCACAACAGTTTCTCGATTAAC